GTCTCTGTTAAGGGCAGTGGATGCCAATGGAGGAAGCATCACATAGTAAGCCAAGATGCAGAGAGGAGTTAGACCCAACTCAGGCTTTTATAATCATCTTCTTGCAAGAATTGCCTTCTGAGAGCATGTCCCCAGTGACCTAAGGGCCTCCCTCTAGGCCCACTTCCTAAACTAAGTAACATTAAGTAATAACTTTGAAATTATAAACATCTACATGAGTTCAAGGACCAAATCAGAACTAAACTATTGCATAGTGAGGTATGTTACTTGGCCTTTCTGAGCTTTGATTCCTCTGTAAAATGAGGATGATAATGGTTGCCTCATAGGGTTATAATGACTAAAGAAATGATTCATTAATGGGCAGCTCAATATGGTATCCATTGTCATTATCATTATTATTGACAGGTGGAGTGTTTAGACAATCCAAACAGTTTTTTTAAGATTTTTATTTATTTGTTTGAAAGGCAGAGTTACAGAGAGGCTGAGGCAGAAAGAGAAAGAGGTCTTCCATCCACTGGTTCACTCCCCAGATGGCCACAGTGGCCAGAGCTGCACCAATCCAAAGCCATGTGGCAGGAGCTTCTTCCAGGTCTCCCACGTGGGTGCAGGGGCCCAAGGCCTTGGGTCATCTTCTACTGCTTTCCCAGGCCATAGCAGAGAACTGGATCAGAAGTGGAGCATCCAGGACTCAAACTGGCACTCATATGAGATGCTGTCACTGCAGGTGGTGGCTTTACCTACCTCACCACAGCACCAGCCCCAGACTGATATTTTATAGTCCTTAATATACCCCTACTATAGAGGTTTTCAAAGCTTAAAATGTTGTCCTGTATATTTTCCCTTCCTCTCTGGTGGTCACCACCTTTGTCCTCATAGCATATTACAAATCATCCAAGAATCTGGGTTTCAGGACAAGCTTTGCCCCTGATCATTGATGACTGGAGAGGTAGAGGGATAACTGTAGAATGTAGGGAAGTATGTTGATTTGAAAAAATTTCTGTAATATTCCAGACATTGGTAGAACTGAAGTAGATTAGAGGAATGAGAAATAAAAGTCTTCCTCAAAGTCTGTGAGATAGTTGCTGTGCTCCAACAGAGAGGAGTTGGCTGACTGCCTGGGGATGTATTTGTTTAAGATATTTCCACCAACAATCTCATTATTATGAAGCCTTTTATTACCAGCTTGGTCCTGGAGTACAAGCAGAGGCATCAGCCCATGGCCAAGCCATTAAGACAAATTAAGACATATTAACATATGCTCAAAACAATTACTCACGTAGATTTAATTTGTTTCACTGTTGGAAGAAATCCTGAGAGGGCACCAAACACATGCCCAAGACAGTTTTGTAACAACCCTGTGAATCTGTCCATTGTCTGCACTTGAGGGGCTGGAGGCTGCTTCAAACAGACATCCATCACAGAGAATGGTCAAGGTGCTTCGACAGGTTATTTGGAAATCTGTTAAAGTGCTGATTTTCTTGTCTTTATTAAGCGATTACCTCCTGTAAATGGGTTCATACAACAATTTGTCCTTTTTTAAAGATTTTATTTATTTGAAAAGCGGAGTGGAAGAGAAATCTTCTGTCCCCTGTTTCATTCCCCAAATGGTTGCCATAACCCAGGTGGGGCAGGACAAAGCCAGGATCCAGGAACTCCATCCAGGTCTCCCATGTGGGTGGTAGGGCCCCAAGTACTAGGGCCATCTTCCACTGCCTTCCCAGGGGAAAGCAGAGCAGCACTGCAATATAGGATGTTGGCATTGCATGCAGTGGCTTAACCCACTGCCCCACAATGCCTTGCTCTTTTTCTTTCTTTTTAACCTACCATTATAGTTACAAATTTTAAAATTGTTTATCAAAATAATACACTGAGCTCTTAGGTATATTTTATAATCATATACTTACCAAACTCAGATATTTGCATTATTTTTGCTCTTTTTTTTTGAGAGACCTCAACTAAAAGAGATCATTCATTATTTCTGAGTTATAACCTTTGGTCCCTCTTGATTTTTGTTGTTCTTTGTATGGTTGGTATTTTCAGTTGTCCTACCCTCAAGAAAACAAAGTCTCTTCAACATACCCGATTGCCTTTTTCTCAAAGAAAGAAAACAAGCTATCATCAAGGTTATTCATAAAATGTGCCTGTTGCAATATCCCCATCATTGGGTATTTACACAGTCTTGTCCTGAAGGTTAGTGAATGGGCCTTTAACAACATCCTGGTGTAGCTGCTAAAGAGGCCAGAGCACCTTTTCTCAAAATATTAACTTCCAAGGCAGCAATCAGCAGCGAGGGCAACAGTGTGTTTAGCAAGAGAAATGAGTTGTTCCATCATCATAATGGTGATAGCTTCCTTTCAGATTTTTCCTGTACCTCCAATCCGTATGGTTATATGTGAGAAGCATAATCCCCACTCATTGAACAAGATGAATGGGCCTTTGATAGCGTGAGAAGTGAATATAAACACTGCCTGTGCACCTGAGAGCCACACAGGTTTATTGCCTTTCCCTTCAGGTTGCCTTGTGACAGTTTCCTCCTTTGTCCTGTTATCCTGGCTTTGCCAATGTTTACAGGACAACTTGTTCACACTGAAGACACCAAATCATTTTCTTCCATGATCAGGGTAGAGTTGGAAACCAAGAAAAGGTATGCTTTTGGTTGCTTCATCACTTGCCTCGTCTCCAACCTAGAAGCCCAGGTAGAGAACAGCATCGTTAGATTTCATTCATGCGAGCATCTTTGAGAGAGGGAAGGGTTTCGCACAAGGAGGGATGCATGTCTTCCACCTCTAACGCTGCTTTCCTTGGCATCCAGACAACTCTTTCAGGTCTAGGCAATGCTCATTTTATTGATAGCCAAAGATCATGCAAAAATAGAGTTCACCAAATGGCCAGAGGTCTCATAATCTGCCTGTGCTCTCAGAAATTATTCACTTATATCCTTTCTCTTTGAAGCAGGAATATTAAAGTGTCTCACAACAGAAGCCATCCACAATAGGGTTGTTCCTGTGGAACCAATTGGAAAATCATGAAAAGAGAAAGGAAATGGACTAGCTAGGGTGGATAATGAAATTGCTGTGGTTTATTATTGGATTTGGCCCTGAGACGATCTAAAGACTCAGCAGTAAGGGGATGATTCAATATATTTATGTATGTATAGTTTCAGCCACATGACAGATGATGATGTGGCCATAAAATTCTCCTCAGAACAAGTTTGTAATGATGAGGATAATAAAGTATTAAGGAGGAAGAAAGTTAAAATTATAAAATTATCTGTTTGTTTACATGAAAAATTATTGGTAGAAAAGTCATTGGAGGTAGCCGGCGCTGCGGCTCACTAGGCTAATCCTCTGCCTTGCAGTGCTGGCACACCAGGTTCTAGTCCCGGTTGGGGTGCCGGATTCTGTCCCGGTTGCCCCTCTTCCAGGCCAGCTCTCTGCTATGGCCCGGGAGTGCAGTGAAGGAAGGCCCAAGTGCTTGGGCCCTGCACCCCATGGGAGACCAGGATAAGCACCTGGCTCCTGCCATCGGATCAGTGCAGTGCGCCGGCTGCAGTGCGCCAGCCGCGGTTGCCATTGGAGGGTGAACCAACGGCAAAGGAAGACCTTTCTCTCTGTCTCTCTCTCTCACTGTCCACGCTGCCTGTCAAAAAAAAAAAAAAAAAAGAAAAAAGAAAAAAGAAAAGAAAAGTCATTGGAGGGGCCAGCCTTGTAGCATAATAGGTAAAGCCACTCGCTGCCTGCAACACCAGCATCCCATATGGGTTCCTGTCCCAGCTGCTCCATTTCCAATCTAACTCCCTGCTATTGGCCGGGGAAAACAACAGAAGTGGGCCCAAGTGCATGGGCTCCTGCTACCCAAGTGGGAGACCTGAAAGAAGTTTCTGGCTCCTGGCTTCAGCTTGGCCCAGCCTTGACCGTTGTGGTCATCTAGAGAGTAAACCAGCAGATGGAAGATCTCTTTCAGTCTCTCTTTCTGTGAAGCTCTTGCTTTCAAATAAATAAATAAATCTTTTTTAAAAAAGTCACTGAAATAGTAACTGTAGTTGAAGAGCTAAAGTGGTTTTTGTTTTTGTCTTTGTATTCTTTTTCCATGGAATTATAATGAATATAAGTTACTTTTATAATCATATGTAAAAGTTAACCTTTTTTGGTTGACTGAGCTTCCTGACAGAAAAGGCAAAAAGGAAAACAATCATGAGTTGCACATTTTTCTTATGTGATGAGGAAGCTATCTCAATTCTTCAAGATAAAATTTTCCTTGACACGGAATTCCAAGAGGTTTATCATAAAGGATATTAAGTTGTATAGTATCCAGATCTTGATAAAGGTCTCTGAGCAAATGCAGATGGAAGTTGCCTTGTGACAGTGTTTCATGACCACCCCAAAAAGAGCAGAGGTCAAGGCTATGGGAATTGGCCTGCAGGGGAATTTGCACCTCACTGGGCTTCCCTCTTGTAATTCTGTATTTGGAATATTTTTTTAAAGATTGAACTCTTTCTTGCCTAAATCAATATGCATATGTTTTGGATCTTTATTTATTTAAAATTTTTATTCTTCTTATCTTGAAGGCAAGGAGAGATCTTGTCTACTGGTTTACTCTCCAGACGCCCATCCAATTCATGTGGTAGGCCAGGCCAAAGCCAAAAGCCAAGAAATCAGTGTGGGTCCCTCACACTGGGGGCAAAGACGCACCCACCTGGCTCACCACTGCTGACTCTCAGGGTCAGCGTTGGCAGGAAGCTGGAACTGGAGGTGGAGCCTGGGACTCAAACCCAGGTGCTCTGATAAGGGACACGGGCATCTGAAGTGGTGTCTGAACCACTCTGGAATTAATTTGGAAGTGTTTCTTTTGCCTGTTGCATCCCAGCTGGTGAGATGGGCCTTGTAGACACAGAGAACATTGCTCAGCTGTTTATGCCACACATCAAGGATGAGATCATCAGCCCCAGGATTGTCTTTTAAAAATTAATATAATTTCACTTCTGTTCTCTTCCCCCTCAGGTGTTGCTGCACTGGATTCCAATGTTTCTGGGAAAATTGGTCTGCGTGCTGTCTTGTATTATTTCTGCACCACTATCATTGCTGTAATTCTAGGTAACATTTGTTTCTGAAACTTTATTCCTCCGTGTTATTGTGACTTCAAAAAGTAGTTGATCCTTCTGTTGTTTTTTTCTTAAATCAGAAATTAGTATTGTCAAATTACCATGAACCTTTTTGCCTTGAAGTCTAAATTGTACCTTTTATGTGAAGAAAATGTGATTCTTACTGAATTTTAGCCGTGGCAGTACTTATTAAAATCTCAAGTGAGAAACGTTAAGAGGGTGCCAGTTCTATGCCTTGCAGAATCACCGAGTAGAAGGAATCAAGCCAAGAGCTTACATAATCCTTAAACTGGATAATTAGTTGGTAACAGTGGAGTTGAGTCTAATTATAAAATATTTCCAGAAAGATGGCATTTTGGCTGGATCTCAGGGTCTTCCCAGGCACACTCTTGCCAGGTGCTACCCTGCCCGCTGGTTCTAGGAAGCTTGCACTGACAGCCAAGGGGCCTGGACTTTTCTCAATGCTATGCGGGTGGTGTGCTTGGCCACAGGTATTGTGTTGGTGGTGAGCATCAAGCCTGGGGTCACCCAGAAAGTGGATGAAATCGACAGGACAGGCAGCACCCCTGAAGTCAGCACAGTGGATGCCATGTTAGACCTGATCAGGTGAGTGCTTCGCCACGCGTGGCTCAGGGGTGTGTGATCTGTGTAGGTGCACAAGGCCCCATGTGTGTCATCATACCCTGCTGATGCTGTCTTGAAATTTTTCTTAAATTTCATTATTATGCATCTTCTTTCTGTCCTGGATCTCGCAAATTTTGTAGCCAGTCTTGCTTGCTAAGTCATGGTTCTAAGAGGTTTTGCAAGAAGCAGGCTCCTCCATTAGGATGTCAGCTTGCTGGAGATGCAGGAGGTATACCTGTCACGTTCAGATGCTGGCCTGGATTGGACAGGCACTTCTGAAGCACACGTGAAGAAACACATGTTTTAATTGCACAGGAGGAATCTTCTTAACCTGAATCTTGCCTGGAACAGTCAGGGTCAGAAATAGGCCAGCTAACTAAAAGTAGTCATTCAAGGAGAGGCTCAGAAAAATTGGATATGCATAACATGTTTTGTTCCCACCTAAAACTTAAATGAATTTTCCACCAACTTTTGATGTAGGGCCAAGGTCTTTTCTTTGAGTATGTTAATTTATTGTAATTTCCTATCATTTCTGTTACATACCCAGCCCTTATATGTGCATCGCCTGCACTTCCTGATCCTGTTTCCATGGAATGGAGCAACAAAACACTGAGCAATTGCAAAGAAAACTGAGCACCACATGCTCTCAGTTTGTGTGTGTGTGTGTATGTGTGTGTGTTTTACTTCAATTGTTATCCATACCTAATTTAACCACAGACATTTTAGTTATTTGGCTGTACTGAGTTTCCAAGCATTCGGCTTAGTTTTTAATAGAAACCACACCTTCTTTTTCACACTCATTTCCCTGGTTTACATAAGATTTAATTCCCTATTATGATCATATTTGCAGTTGGCATAAAGAATTTGGAAACAAACCCAATGGACTGTTGATAAGCATCCATCCTCATGGATGGAAGCAGAAATGCACAGGAAATTAAAGAATTCTTAGTCCCTTGACTGTCTGTCTGCCAGTGCAGCACTGCACTGTGGACAGCAAGTGTGTCACTTACAGAATCGCTCATGTGACGATTGCTCACAACTGTCCATACGTGGTTGAAGCTCAGCAGGAAATAAGTAAATTGTAATGCATGGAAATATTTTACAGAGAAGAGGCCGGATGAGAAACCCAAGTACTTGTTCTATATTAGATTCATTGCTACCAGTGTACTGAGTATGACCAGAACACCCTCTTTGGCCCTAATATAACACTGATTTTCATGTCTCCACCAGGAATATGTTCCCTGAGAACCTCGTGCAGGCCTGTTTTCAGCAGGTAATATTAATAGCCTTTGCGCTCAGTTCGTTCCCCTCTTCCTGTTACCAATTAAGGTTATTTTTTTCTGTTATGATTCAATAGGACTGCCCAATAAATAGGCAACAGGAAATGCACCTGTGAGTGGTGGGGCACAGAATCATCCTTCCAGCCCGCAGTGAGGTGCATGCAATAACACCTGCTCCTCCAAAAGGACTCAAAGGAAGCAAGTTAACAGTCTGTCAACAAATGAGTGTTTTTAAATGTTGGCTTCAGGGTCCAGCGTTGTAGTGTTAAGCTGCTGCCACCTGCAATGCCAGCATTCTGTATGGATACTGGTTCAAGTCTCAGCTGCTCCACTTCTGATCCAGTTCCCTGCTAATGCACCTGGGAAAGAAGTAGAGGATGACCCAAGTCCTTGGGCCCCTGCACCCATATGGAAGACCCAGATGAGGCTCCTTGGCTTCAGCCTGGCTCAGCCCTGACTGTTGTGGCCATTTAGGGAGTGAAACAGCATATAGAAAGTTGATTTTTCTCCCTCTCCTCCTCCCCCTCCCCCTCTACTTTTTCCCCTCCCTCTCCTTTTTCCCCTCCCCCTTCCTCCGTCCCTCTCCCTCCCTCTCTCCCTCCCTCTCTTCCTCCCTCTCTCCCTCCCTCTTCTCCCTCTCCCTCTCCCTCTCCCTGTAACTCTGCCTTTTAAATAAATAAATCTTTAAAAAATGAGCTGTAGTACTAGTTTTTGGAGAAGCAGCACATTGTGTTTGTGAGGAAACAGCCCATAAGCACAGTGCCCTCCCCTGCTCTTTCCTGCCTCTCTGCCTGCTGTGCCAAACAAAGACCGCATAAGAGTGCTCACAGCTCCACGAAACCAAGGATGTTCTCAACCACCAGATACCACCTGCTGGGACTAGACATAGCAACACAAACATTAGCAAGACTCTTGTGGTGACAGCAATCCCATCCTTTAAACTCCAATCTCTTCCTCGGCAAAGAGATATCGCTGACTCTGAAATCACTAGAATATACCATAACGACTTGATACACTCACATAAATCCTCCATGACTCGAGACCTTTGGAGCCTATCAATTTAAATCGGGAAGTATGGTACGTAATTTGCCTCGAAACCAGGCGGCCCTGAAATATCCTCATATTCCCGGTGTCACGAATAAATATCCAGCAGACAACCGGGACCTCATTCTTAATTCTTGGATGGTCCTTG